CAGTAGATAAGGAATAGCAATGGCCCTCACCCTGTTTTGGAAGATGTTCTTCTAGCTTGAGATACTGGCCCAGTTCCCTTTGCTCTTGCACTGCCAGGGGCTAAATATCCTGGCTGCTTAGATAATTACATATTTATGATTTTGCCGAGAATTCTTAGTCAAAGCTTATTTTTGAACTGTAAGATGCTTAGAGAAACAGCAGAGAAATTTCTCTGACAAATGCTACTTCAAAACAGAGCCAACACTTAAATTTTTTTAAAGGACGCTCATTTCCGTTTCAGTTTATTCATTCAGTGGTGAACTTTAATGGCAGAAAAAGGAGAAAAGGGGTGTTTTCCCTCTCAGTCAGAAAGGGATCTTGCTTAATTTGCTCTCTGTAAAGAAACAGAAAATTCAAAAACTCTTCAAAAAATTATTCAGAATAGTGTACATACAATTTTTAATGTTTATCAGAGTTTGCACCCTACCACACAAAGCAACTTTTTTTATTATATCATGTTATTAGTAGTATTTCCTCTTCCGCACATAAACCACTAGATTAGCTAATTCATGCTGACCCAATAAATAGAACTGATGTATGAACATTTTGAAATGTAATTGTTTAGCCACAACAAATTATCACAAAATACACTGCACTTCACCTTCCTTCATTGATAATAGCATTCACTGATTTCAGAGGGAGCAAAACAGTCCAAAATTTCACGCTGTCGGATATTTTAGACAATTTCAGAACTTGCTTGAAATAATTTATTTTTTTTTTTCCTTTTAAGGCTGCACTCCATAAACTGAACAACCAACAGCCTCAACAATAAATTTCATGAGCACTTTTAGGCCCTACTGTTCAAAGTGCTTACAAGCTTGGTTAGCTTTATGCATGCAAGTGCTCCTTATTTATATCTCAGAAGAACTACTCCTACACTAAAAGTTACATGTGCACACATGCATTTGTATTTCATAGAATGATGGCCTTAGTCTTGCAGAGTTATTTATTTTGACTCAATTATTCTAGGCTCTTGAGGGCAACATCTTTAGTAGTGTCAAGTTTCATCAACTCTGGAAAGCAGGGGTCCCTGTTTGCAGTATAATGGCAACTGACCTTCAGCTCCACCACCTTACAAAGAGCTGCTCATCTGCAGATACCCATTTTATATACCTATAGTTGAGAGATGCCATTCAGCTCCTCTTGAAACAAAGCCAGTTTTGCAATTCCAGTGCAAAAACCTTGGAGCTAGCAGCACAGATCTCCAGCTGTCCTTGGCAGGTGCCAGGAGAGACAAGGCTTCCACACCAAACTCCAGCTCATATCCCCTCCCTTGGTCGTCTTCCTTTGCATGGAAGCATTTTAACATAACAGCCTGGCAGATCAGTGTTTGGATGGGTTTAGCTGCTGGGGAAGCACGGGCTAATAGTTATATCCATTAATTCATTCACCTGTTTTCCAAGGAGTGGTAAGGTCGCAGGACTATCTGAAGGTACCACAAAGGCATTCAAATTAAAAACAACTTGCTGCAGTCTTGAGGAAATTTTTGCAGACACCTTCCAGTCCCTTCACTTTGGAGTGACTTATTCATTCTCTCCAGCTCCTCCAAGCCCTCCTGCTGTATCTGAGCTGAATACCCTGCATAGGTAATTAGCTGAAATGTTGCACCCATGGAATTTCCTGGCCCAAGAGACTCAGTGCCTGCAGAGCTGCTCTGTAACATCTCTGATGTGTAGGAACAGTTGACATAACACACAATAGGTGTGTTACACCCTTGAAACACAGTATAATGTGTTCACCTAAAAGGAGGCAACACTGAAAAGAATGGATTTAAATCACCTACTTGGTATTCCCCCAAGACTGTGAGGACATGCCTTAGCTGTTGATGACACTGCTTGCTTGGTGTTCACTGCTAGCCTCAGACTTCACCTGTGCCAGATTGTAATAAACAATAACATCCTCTATTCTCTTCTGCATGAGACTTTTTTAACTGATCAGGATGCCAATCTTTGTCAAACTGCCTGTGGAATGGCTCAGAATCCCAACACCAGTGTTTTCCAGGATACCTGTAAGAAGGTCACCACACTGCCCAGAGGAGTCCTTCACAGCCCCTTCTGGTTACCTCTGCAAAATCAAACCCATCCCAGCAAGCTGTCATACACAGTCACAAACTGGTAGCTCCCACCTTTCTGTAAGTTCCTGGGCTTTGCACAGTGCATTCTGTATTTCTAAATTTAGATATACCACTGTATGTGTGTATTAATACATGCACAGATAATAGACTCCTATATTCCCACACATATTCATGTGCACACACACAAACCTGCTTCAGTGACTTGCAAAGGCAGAAAGGCAAATTGGTTTGCTTCCAAAACTTACAAAAAAGCCTTGCAAGATACAATGGAAAAATCTCTCTTGGGTAAACTACCTATTTCATCATACAAAAGAAAACTTATTTGCTAAAGCCCTTGTTGAAATCCTGATGTCATCTTTTGCTTAGACCAAGGATCCAAGACTTAAAATTTTTATTTCCGAAACATTCATTAAGTCTTGTGACCACAGATTAAGTACCCAGATATCAGCCTCTAAATGAACCTTCAAAATCCTAGAAAAGTAGCACCAGACACTTAGTTTCCTGCAATTACCAGGCCTTTTTCATTAAGCCTTTGCATCTTTGCTCTGACATTGTGAGGAGCATGAGATTTGGCTGGAAGAATGGGAAGGAGAACTCACAACCACTGAACACACCCATGCTGTATCACAATATAAATATCTAATTTTCTGAAGAATTGCCAACAACTTCAATAATTTTCAAGGAGCAACTAGTATTTTACCCTATTTGGTTAATCAGTTAACATATATACATAACATATGCATGTATATCATAACATAATATGATGCAAAAAATAAGCTGCTTCTAATTACCTTGAAAATTGAAAATCTAAGAAAACAGTAGAAGAGGATGGAATATGTGTAAATTGTTATTTTGTCTGGGTTTGGTTTTTTTTTTACAATAAGAAGTGGAACTGACAATCAGGATTAAAACATGACCAAAAATGCTACAACCATTTCTCAAGGGAATCAGAAATTAATTTTTTACTCAAATATATGTGGGAACATGGGCAACCACGTTTAAAGCAAGTCCTGTTTGGGAGATGTACACAACCTGCTTTCTTCAGCATCCTCTGGCCTACACTTTGTTTACACACAGCAAGGAGAAAAATATAATAAAAACCTATAAAAGTCTTTTTTTACTGTACAGGTTAAGTTACGATTACTTTGGGGATGGTAAAAAATGTGTCTAGCTTGTCTCTTAAATCTACATTCAGACCATTTCAAAGTTAATCAGAGGTGAGTAATGGTTTAGAAATCTCTTGAATAATAAAGTATAACAACTTACAGCACAAAAACAGCCCTCAAAGAAAAGAGTGGGGAGTACTTCACCACAAGTAACAGTTGAGTATGTTTAGTCTGTGCAATTCTGAATTTCTAATATAATTTGTAGGGGGAAAATTAGGACAAAATGCAGTAAAATTTCAAGTACAGTCTCACAGTATTTTAAAATTTTATGAAGTATAAGGACTAGGTTAATATGAAATGAGTCATGTTTTTAAGAGAAGCAGATCAGTATCTTAAATCATAACTAAAATAACACTCAACCACTACAAAATAAAAAGAAAACAGAGTAGCTTTTTGCTGGAAAAGGGTCAACAACAACAATGAAGGTTTAACAATACTAGAAAAGGCTGAGAGCACTGGTCATTTCAGGAATGATCAGTTAAAATACCAGTCTGGCTGACCAGGTAAACTCCATTCTTTCTCACTCAACAAATTCATCAGCTGAGGTTCATCCCGAGTTAATAAAAACTCTACTCATATCAACCCTGTGCCTAAAACACCAGACTATTAAACAACATATATGCTTGGTACAGACCTTCTGATTTCAGAGGTATATTTGCTTTACTTTGTGACAGATATATTACATTTCCATTCATGATGTCTTTGGGAGTTAACAGAATTGCTTACTGCATCAAAGTAAAGGAGTTACATCCAAGCAACCTCTCTCTGAGCATCATTTTCCTCACAGGGCAAAGACAGTGGAGTTGCAAAGGTGTAAGCAAGGCTGTAACTGATTTACATATTCTTTAGATCCATTTCCACATTCAAGCCAAAGGAAACCAGCTCAGCTCTCAGATCCAAAACTGAGTTTTCAAAGCAAGCGGTTCAAAATATTACCCCTTTAATTTCTGTACTGAGCACAATGATCTGGAGATGCTTCAAATACAGAACTCACTTTATGCATTTAATTCTCAAGGCTAATGCTATGGGTACCACTCTTGTACACATCAACTGTGACAACATAAGATACCAAAACTGCTAAAAAGAGGTTGTTTGATCAAAGCTGAAGCAGTAAGTTCCAGCCCTTCCCTTCAGACCTCGGCTCTGCTTTCCACATGCACAGCGATCAGGAAGCACCAGCAAACCTTAAGGACAGCTGAAAATATGAATTTGCAACATTCCAGAGGTGGAATGAGAAGATTGCCCCTTTCTGCAGAAGCTACAGAAGCTAAGATTTTAACTTCACTGGTCTTACACTGACAAATGAGTTGAAGTAAAATACACCTGACAACACAGAGCTGATTTTGGTTGAAACAAACTGCAGAGAGCACCCAAGTGGGGGCAACAGAACACCTGGCCTGGCTACAGCTCACCCCAAACAGGCTCTTGGCCAAAAGAGGAAGCAACACCAGTTACCAACAGGATGAGCTATGTTACTGTCCAGTCACACTTCTCACATGAAAACTGACATGCTGCCTGCTTTCCACAGGATAAAAGCAGGTGCAATTTTAATATATTGTCAAACAGCATAATGGTCTAGATGTTCCTTAAAAAATTAAAATAATCCACTTAAATACTAAAAAGTAGTTATTCTAAAAATACTATTTGCAGTGTAAGCCTGCTAATGACATGTGTGCAGAGAGAAACCACACCACCTTTAGTCAGTTGAAAAGGTACTTACCATTGGCAGTGCATTGATATGCAGAAGTTTGTTTTCCTTTCGGGTGCCTCTTGCCACAGAAGGGTGATGCTGACAGGCAAATAAGGAGACAAAATAGGAAATGTTAGTATTTATTATTTTGAAAAGTGTTGTTAACACACAGTTAGATGTTATCATTTAACCTTCCTGGTTCTCCCAGCCTGCTCAGTTCCCGGAGCTGAGCGTTCCCACTGCCTTTGCTCGGAGCCCAGAGCAGAGAGCACAGCACAGAGCTGGAGTTTTGCACATATCCTGTCATCCCCACATCCCAGAGCTGGCTCTGCAGGGAGCACACAGACCTCTGAACAAAACCTGCTGCTGGAGGAACACTTGCACACACATGCACAGCAACCTGTGTGGAAGCATCCTGATGTCTGCATTTTGTTTCACCTCTCTGCAAAAAGCTTCAGGAAGGCAACTAGGCAACTTACAGTATCACCTGCCCATGCCAAGTTTCTTCTGGAAATAAACCACAGCTACCGACATCTAAACACTTTGAAAAGCCCCAAACAAAAGTCAGCATTCCAGTGGTATGGCTTTCAAAATGGTTACACCACTGTGAAGCAGTAGAAGAAAAATAAATCTGTTTTCCTAACACATCTTGCACTAAATAACTCAATTTATATACACAGGTGTACCCATGAGCCCAAAGAGTTACCAACTCCAGTAGTGATCTCAGTAATTTAAAAAAACCCCACAAGCTCATAGTAATTGCTAGCAACACTTGACAACATGTAAACAACAGAAATCTTCCTAGTGCAATATTCAAGAGAAATCTTGCCTACCTTTAAAACCCAAACAAAAACATAATCCAAACAAATCCACACTCTTCTATATTTTAGTAATTTTCTTTACACTATATATAATAATTTTATGCACCCAACAATAAAATAACTACTAAGTATAAGCACACAGCTTTTGACATCCAAATATGAGGTAACTCCATCCACTGCAACATTCATTTTTATTCAGCAGTGACAAAGGATTTTTATCCACACTAATATTCCTGAGTGGTTGTCCTCCATACAAATACTTGCCAGACAACTTTTCTTTAGGACATAATCTAATCACCCACTCAAAGAGCAGGAAGGGTGACAGATGGACATGGGTGACTAATGAAGTATTACCAGACTATTTTTAGATTAAATTCTTTACCAAGCATCTGCAACCTGTGGTCAATAAACTTTTACTACAAGTAAAGAGTAACTATAGTTTGTGGGACTCATGATCAACACAAGGTTCTCACGTGCAATTTTTCAAGCTCAACCAGCAGGAAAAACATTCATTACAGACCCATTTTTGGACCCAACCCAAAAAAAAAAAAAAAAAAAAAAAAAAAAAAAAAAAAAAAAGAAAAAAAGAAAAAAGCTGCAGCATTTGGGCTTCTTTTATTCTTAGAAGATCCCACAAGGCAGGCAGAAACATCACCTTCACTGTGCAAGCAAGAGGCACTGCAGAGGATGCTGAGGAATGAAGGAATGCTGGGAATTGAAAGAATTTGCAAACATGCTCTTATTTCTTTGCTTAGTTGTACCAGTGCTGCAGAAAATATGTAAATAGGCTGAGTGAAACTCCACTCCTTGAGAGGTACAGTATCCTATGCAATGCTACTCAGAAAGGTTTTTTTCCAGGGCCAGAGCTGCTGACCAGGTGAGAACAGAAAGCCGTAACACCCTGTCTGCAGACCCCATAAAACATTATTTTCTTACAACAAGTGTTTTCCTGAAAAACAGAATAAAACAGCAGCTGACCAATATTCTTTTGAGAACAGTCTAAATCATGATAAAAGCTGTGTGCAGAGAAAGGCAGAGGATGGCCCTGTTACCCAGTTCTGAGTGCGACGCTTGGTTTGGGTTATTCCATTTGGGAAGGAACACTGCAAACATAAATAAAGGGATGATTGCACAAACATAAACCATTTTCTTCAAGGAAAAAAGGGTTTCTTCAGTACACACTGCCCAAACTGTCTCCTTCCAACGCCTCTTTGCCCTTGTGCAATCTCAAGTGCAGTACTTATCAACGAAGCCAGAGAGGGAAACCTTTCTGCCTGATCCGTGGAAGAGGCTTCTTGTCCTTTGCTTCACGTCTAAACAGGGCAGTGACACGGAAAGAAGCTGGAAGCAAAGACTCAAGAGAGCAGAGAACGAGAAAAGAAAGGGTTCACTGACTTTGCTTCATTCCTCACTCAATGTTAATTGGTTGTAGGCTCCAATTTTAAATAAGGGCGCTTGAAGAGACGTGTAAACATTAAGAAAACTGCAATGTCCTTCTTCAGAATCAATTGCTGAGTACAAACGCATCATCAGCAGCTTTTTTTCTTTCCAAATTTATCTTATTGGATTTTGGCAGGTACCTTGAAACAATGCAGGTGACAGTTATAATTTATTGATTTCAGACTATCTCTCACCTTTATATTCCAACACATTACAGTGATTTAAACAGGTGCCCAGATGTAGTAACAGCTATACTACGTGACACTTAAAAATAATCCACCAGATGCCCTTTAAGTTGCTAAGGCACGCCTGGGGAATGCAACAGCAGCTTGTGAGTTTGGATCCTTCAGCTTGGAGGGGTTGGGAATGGCTCACCACTGCCTGATAACTAACGTGCTCAAAATCAGTTGAAAACTACTCCCCCCAACTTGACAAGAAAGATGATTTTGCCATGTGTGCACTGGCACACGTGTGTTCAGAGCCAGTGCTTACCAGCCCTGCCACACCACTTTTTTCTGCACAAAATGACACACCTGACCTGATGCCCGTGTCCCTCTGAGATTTGGGGCCAAGCACTCGGTACAGCATCCTCTCCCTGTGAGGAGCATCCTATCCTGCTGTGGGGTACAGAGACCAGCCACGCTCCAGGCCTTAAACCCAGCCTGCATGGGCCAGGCAGCTCCCGCCCGCAGGGCCAAAACTAACACACCAAACCACCTTCACCAAAGCAGCAAATACCTGTCCAGGCTGCTTGCACAGATCTGCTGCTAGCAACCAAGCAACAATCGTGTGGTACAAAGGATAAAATCAACACTGGCACCAACCCAGTGACAGATCTGGTTGTAAACACCACGTGTACACTGATGTTAGTCCTTACCTGTTTCCAAACGTGATCAGTTCAAAGCAAGGATTTCTCTAAATCACAGGACCTCTAGGTTGGAAGAGACCTTCAAGACCAAGTCCAGCCCAGCCCTGACAACTCAACTAGACCATGGCACTGAGTGCCACATCCAGTCTTCTTTTAAACACATCCAGAGATGGTGACTCCACCACCTCCCCGGGAAAACCATTCCAACATTTTATCATCCTTCCTGTAAAATCTTTTTTCCTAATATCCAACCTGTATTTTCCTTGGCACAGCTTAAATGCTACTTGCAGAAATGTTTAACCATTTCCTTCCAGAAATGCTGCTATTGGTGCTGCTTTCTCCTTCCCAAACATCACACTGCGTTTGTGTTACAGCTAAACCAATGTTTTTTGTGTGAGCTTTGAATTGCTCCTGTTCCCCATGTGAACTTGTGCACTTGTGCTTTTTTTTCTAATCCTCTTAGGATCACACTGTTTATACTACTTTCTGAGATTTTGGTGCTATTTGAGCTCTAACAAATAAATTTAGTCATTAGATGTCGTGCTTTCCGAATCACAAAAGCCTTCTAGGGACACAGTATCTTGTCTTCTAAATTATCCTTGAGTATCCTGCTTTTATCTCGATTCAGTATCTGGAAAAAGTGTCCCAATCAAAACAGAATTAAAAATAACTAAATCCTGGATATTCCCCTCAGTAACTAGGCTGCAAAAAGCATGAGACAATAATTTTAAAAGCCTAAATTGAAAACTAATCACTCCATTGAATCCTTCCTTTTATTTGGTTAATAGGCACATACAAAGCTAATGGTGATTCTACCACTGCTGCGCCTGGAACATAAACAGAGAAAACCAAAGTTATTTCTTTTAATCACAGTTCCACAGTGATGTATGGCAATTTTTTTTAAATAATTCAGCACGTCTACAACAACATCTGCTTTTCAGATCTGACAGAGAAGCTAAACTGAGACAAATACCAGCTCGGAAAATTCAGGAGAAACAAACACGTACAAGTGTGTGTAGGGGAAATCAGCACCACACACAAGACGTCATTAAAAACTGTCATTACTTGAAACTGGTAGGTAACAATAGGGTTCCTAGTGACAAAACAACATGCACAGACTGCTCCAGTACTTCACTCTGGGAGCACGGCATGGACGAGGATGTTTTACAAGAAGCTTCGTAAGGAAGCAATGAAAGTATCTAAGACCTGCCCAGGGACATAGCCACACAAATTCCTGAACTCTGAAACAGTTCTCTGTCAATTCAGAAATTTTTATTTCCTGATCTCTGTTCTTTTATCTTTATTCCATCAGAAAGACAGAAAAACCTGATGTAAGTTGACTTTTCAGATGTTTTAAAGATGAAATGCTTAACTTGTTCATTCACATCACATTAAAGCTGAACTACTTTCCACACTTCAGGAATACTCTTACACAGAAGAAGCACCTGTATGTCTATGGACATATGTGAACCAACTGCTAAAACAAAGGGCATCTGAGGGGATAAAGAATAAGGACTGGGCAAGCAGACATCACTATTCTGGAGAAAAGTTCATCCAGATACATAAACCACTCACTGTAAACCCACAGAAACAAGATTCACTGTGCAATGGGAAAGGACAAGCCAGGCAGAGCAAAAGAATACTGCAGAAGTTTAAACACCAATTTCTGTAACAGTCAAAAAATTGAGGCAATCACAGAAAATAGCTCATAGCCCACTGAAAGGGAAGGAAGCTGAACTGCTGGAGAGGAAACTAAGTCAAGCAGCTCCATTAAAAACCCATAATGTACCCCAGTAATCTCGTCAATACCAATCAGCTGGTACCAATGGGAAGGAGGGAGAGCAGTGCTGCAGCACCATTTCACTTGCAAGGCATTTAAATGAAATTCATTAGCAAGTAATCCAATTCACATAAACTGGAAGTTAGAAGGACCTAGAGAATGAAGTTAAACCCAGTCTAGACTGGGAAGG